GTGTTAAGGGAGAGATTGATTGGCCAGATACAGGAATTTTCCTGCCCGCAATATCTTATGTCTACAATTAATTCTTTCCTTACTAACCATCCCAATACCATGAGACTGGGGGATTTCACCTCCACTTCCTTTGCGATCCCTAGAGGGCTTCTAAAGGGCTCACCTCTTTATGTGACATTATACATCCTGTATAATAGCGGGCTTTTTGTACATGGCTCTACTGCGCTCACTGACCCAAAGATCTCCATATGGTATGTTGACAATGTCATCCACTTAGTAGCGACTGACACATTACCACAAGAATTGGAGCTCCTTGGTTGAGAAGGCAAGAGATTTCTAGATTGGGGCACCAAGTTTGGCGCAGTCTTTGACAACAAAAAGGCCGTCCCAATGATCTTCTCAAATAAAAATCTAACCATCTCCCAATTTATTTTTGGGGGATTAGAACTTGCAGTCCCAAAATCCACCCGCTGGTTAGGTATTATTTTAGATTAAAAGCTAACTTTTTCTGAACAGGTGCAACAGATCAAAAACCATTGGCAACCTCTGAATTATGCAATTGAGCCAAATTGTCAAATTGTTATGATCCTGTAACCCCCTCTGGGACTTGCCAGGGGTTTCCCAACTGGGGGATTATCTCCAGCCTCCACACCTTTGTACATCCCCCAGTTAGCAATCTACTATCTTCAACCTTACTCATCGCAATGAATTTTGATTCAACAATGTGGGGGTGCTCTTATCTTGATGAGGTTGATGTAGGTATACCCTCCAACTCCTAGCTGAGAAGGTGTTCGCTCTTTTACTATGGCCATCCCACAGCGTCCCTGTTACCCTGGAGAAGACAAAATCTTCTTCATTGAACCGGGAAGCATAAGTGAGGCCAAGTATGTCTCAAAGCCCTGCTTCCAATTCAGGCGCTGCCCACAAGTTAAACTTGGGACGTCGGAATGGTTGCTGGACTTTTAAGACCCCATGTACTTGTTGTGCTTGTACAAAGTTCAACCTTGCATGTAGGACCATACATCCTTGGCAGTACAGTCCCCTACATTTGTGAGGACAAATTTTGTGGCTTTACTAAGGTTCTCCTTCAGACTAATCCGCCTTGAACCTTTGGAGAAGAAAGTATCACTTTCTTTCTACCATTCAGCAATTTTTATTGGTGAAGAAATGTTTGGAAATTGAACAATAGCCCAAAAGGGGTGTAAGTTTGGTCCCCCTCGTGGCTCACAATATTCAGTACTTGGGGTATGAAGTCGTGAAGGGCCACCACTGATCCCTCCCTCCACGGTGCTAACACTAGAAGGAAGTTGCTCCTCCTACTGGACAACAATGTCACCAGCAATAGGTTCTGGATAACCGGCAAGATTGCGGGTTCGTTGCAGAGCCATTGAATCCGCAACAGAGCTAGACTCTGCCATAGATTTGGCATCTGAGAGTAGGAATTTTCCTATTTGGTTTCGCATCCACAACGCACCACAGAAATAGGGGATTTGAACCTGTCCTTTTTCAGGGAAACGCATATAGATGGGTAGCTTCTTGGCTTGTTTGAAGCGGGTTTTCATAGGTTTTGGCGGTACAGGGAGATGGAATTGGAACTTCTTGTTCTCACGAACGAGAAGTTCTTCTTCCCTCTGCCTTTTTACGCTTTTTCCCTTAGTACACAATGTCCCAAAGGTAAACCGTTTTTCCTTACAGATAGGTATTAATCTTGGAGCTTTACTGCCCCTGGGGGCAGTCATCACTTTAGATTGCACAGGCCCATCAGATTTGGATGAATCATCAGAGATGATATTTACTGAATGGTCATATTCAGGTGTTGAATCACTTCGGGTTTGCTTCTTGGTAGCTACCAAATTGATTGAGATTGTTGAAGAATCCCGTGTTTTTGTTTGCCTAGACGAACTACCTTTACTGGCTATTTCTCTTCCCAAAAAGGGATGAGTTGTAGTCAGACAAGATATACGACTGGACTCACATGATACATCTTTGTGTACCGAGTTAATGTCCGAAGAAGACATAGCATTTCTGGAGGAAATACTGGTTAACCTCTTCGATGAGGTGAGAAGGGTAGTGGGCGCGCGGAGGGGAGGACCCCCTTCACAAAGCCCTATGTTCTGGTAGGACTTAGCATTACGACAGGCTTGCCTATCCACAGTCCCCAACCCCCCTGAGTGGGCGAAGCCGTCCACAACATTGTTGAAGACGGCAAGCTCATGGCTCCGAATCAATATTTTCTGTCTCATGTCTCATAAATTTGGTTTGTTACCTTGTCAGGGTGGGTTACCATGCAAGGAATTTTGGGGTGTTTGAAAAAAAAAAAAAAAAAAAAATTCTGACCAGGTTATGTTGTGACCTGATCAATTATACTCAATGGTGGGAGTAAGGGTTGTGAAGTTAGAAAAACCTCAAGTTGTCCCAATAGAGATATCTTAAACATTAGTATTTTGCATGTCAGTTTATTTTCAATGGCTCCACACACAGACATACTCACCTAGTCTCA